ACAAGTACTTATTATCCTACCTTTCCACAGATATTGTACTTAAGGCAGGTCACAATTTAAAAATAAATCAAAATTGTAGTAATACAAGGAACAGTTCATTTATTTTAATAACACCAGGTTAAAATGTTATAGAAGAGGTAATATTTAATAATATACTGAAATGAAACAATTGTTGTATGTAATTATACGATCATTTAATCTTCTCTCAAAGTAGGCTCACAGTTTGTGGGCTGCAATTGGTTTGTCTTATGATTACATTGACTATTTGCTTGTATGGCTTAGCAAACAGATAGTTAAGATTTACTTGCTTAGGTAAACTTCAGTATTGCTTGCAGGAAAAACCATGTGTAAAATTGTCTTCCTGAAGCTTCCACTTACCTGGAGATAAGCACCTCTGAATTCAATTGGAAATATTTCTGAATAGACATGTATAGGATTGCACTGTGTGTTAGGATCAAGTCCATGACATAGGATAAGTAATTTCTTTTTCTTCTCTGCCTGCAGCAAACATATAGTTATTTTTGGAATGACACGCAACTGATGGATTCAGGTGATAGGTATCAAAAAAGGCTGTGTGTTATAAGTTATTATTAAAATATGTAGTGCTAAGTGTTTTCCTTGGGTACTGACCATTCATGCTGCAAAGTATTCTAGATGTTAGCTTAGGTGAGGTAAATAAGTCTGGATTTTCCACTTTTGACTCTGCCCTACTGTTTTCTTGGTCTCCTGTGCTTTGACTGTCTGGTGATGTTTCAAGGGATCTGCCATGAGGTTCTTTTGGAAACAATAGTGGACTCCTCTCTTGTGGCTTGGTTCCTTGTGATAAATGACATTTAACATATTCTAGACTCCTGACATGAGCTTCCCCTTTCAGCTGACACAAATGAAGTACCAGATTGAGATGGTTACAGCCGCTTGTGTTAAGTGCATTCAGGGAGCTCAGTTATCTATCTATCTATCTATCTATCTATCTATCTATCGATTTATATCCTGGTTTTTTTTTCCTACAAAGGGCTCAAGGCAGCTTACATCATTCTCCTCCTCCATCTTATCCCCACAACAACAATCCTGTGAGGTAGGTTGGACTGAGAGTCTGTGACTGGCCCAAAGTCACCCAGTTGGCTCCATGGCTGAACGGGGACTAGAACCCAGAACATCTGAGTCCCAGCCCCATGCTCTTAACCACTACACCACACTGGCTCTCTTTGTAGGTCTTCATTCACTAGACATGTATTAAGGAGAGCATTGGTGGAGGGATAGAGAAGAGGGTTTCACAAATGTTCCCTATGAGTTGGGTCAGGAAGTGTTGTTATACATGCATCCCACCTAAGCTCCTTGCATGGATCTTAGGACAAAAACCAGCTAGGTGCGCCCTCTTTTATTTCTGCTTTCTTTTCTGTGCTATGTCTGAAGATAAATATTGCTGAAACCCTGTTGCAAATGGCAGGAACTGCATGAGTATTGTTACTATAATTACTTATTCCAATCAAAGGATCTCCAGTTGCTTGTGCAACGCATGGCCATGCTGCTGCCATGTTACTAAGAATTGCCCTGTCAGTGCTAAAATCATCTCAAGAACGTATCTGTGATGCTTTATTTCCTCTTAGGTGAGGTGCAGCATCTTGTTCCCAGACAACTGTGCCGCATTGGGACAAAACAGTATGGAGTCTGTTCAGTATTGGACCAATACAGGTCCTACTAACAGTAGAGCTATTGCAATGAATAAGATTTAACTTAGTGATGGCTCACTTAAGTCCCACTCATTTCAATGGGCCTGCTCTAAGTAAGACTGACATTTGAATGTAGTTCTAGTCATCCTTGGGTTGGTTGTTGTTTTTAAGGTGGAATTACTTGTGAGAGAGTAGTGTGCAGAATTAAATGTGATAAGGCATTCATGATTCAGTTCAATTTAGTTACATTGTACAGGCAGAAACCCATTCCGAAAACAACTAGAACTTCCAGGGAAAGCACTATTATACATAAACTGAAGTTAAAATATACATTCATACTTAAAATTTAAAGGAGGCAGTGATCAGGCCTGTCCTAAAGAGGGTGTCCCTGGCCCCAGAGGTGGCTGCCAATTATAGACTGGTGGCCAGTATGCCGTTCCTGGGCAAGGTGCTGGAGCAGGTGGTAGCAGGAAAACTCCAAGCACTCTTGGATGAAATGGGTTATCTGGACCCGTTTCAGTCCAGCTTTAGACCCGGTTGTGGTATTGAATCTGCCTTGGTTGCCCTATATGATGACCTGTGCAGGGAGAGGGGCAGGAAGAAGTGTGTCCCTGTTGGTTCTCCTGGACCTCTCAGCAGCTTTCAGTACCAATGACCATGTAATTCTTCTTGATAGGCTGGCCCGGTTAGGAGTACGAGGCTCTGCTTGGCAGTGGTTCTGTTCCTACCTGGCAGGACGATTCCAGTAGGTGGTGCTGTGGGGGACTATGGCTCTGCACCATGGCAACTCTGCCATGGAGTACCGCAGGGTTCCATTTTGTCCCCCTTGCTATTTAACATCTACATAAAACCATTGGGAGAGGTCATCAGGAGGTTTGGGCTGTGGAGTCACCAGTACGCTGATGACACCTAGCTCTACCTCTCTTTTTGAACTAATCCAGGGGGAGGCAGTGGCTGTCCTGAACTGGTGCCTGGATGAGGTAATGGACTGGATGAGGGCCAGTAAACTGAAGTTCAGTCCAGATAAGATGGAGGTCCTTTTGGTGGGTGGTTCAAGTTTCCAGGTAAGTGACTTTGGCCCTGTCCTGGACGGGGTTGCACTCCCTCTAAAGGACAGGGTCCACAGTTTAGGAATGCTTCTCAACCCGGAAATGTCCCTGGAAGCCCAGGTTATGATGGTGGTGAGGAGTGCTTTCCTTCAGCTTCGGCTGATGCATCAGCTGCGTCCTTACCTGGACAAGAACTGCCTAGCAACAGTGACACATGCACTGGTAACCTCCTGGTTGGACTATTGTAACACGCTTTACGTGCGTCTGCCCTTGAAGACGGTCCAGATACTTCAAATGGTGCAAAATAGAGCTGCCAGGATACTGTCGGTGACCGGCCGTTACTCCAGTCCTCCATCAGCTCCACTGGCTTCCCATTGAAGTCCGGGCCCAATTTAAGGTGCTGCTTATGACCTATAAAGCCCTAAGCAGCTTGGGACCAGGATACCTAAAAGAACGTTATTTGTTTTTCGGTGCCAGGCGAAGACCTTTTTATTCAAGCAGCATTTTAAATGATAATATTATTGAATTTTATCGGGCCAGGGCGGCTTATTTTATATTGTATATTTGTATCTTATTTTAATGTATGTATTTTAAAATGTTATTTATGATGTTTTAATTTATTGTTGTAAGCCGCCCGGCGAATGGCTTCGGCGAATGGGGCGGCATAAAAATGTTTTAATAAATAAATAAATAAACGTCTTTTTCCCTACATGCCCTCCCGCCCCTTAACATCTGCAGCAGAGGCCCTGCTCTGGGAACCCACCTTGAAAGAGATTAGCAGACAGAATACCTGGAGGAGGGCTTTCTCTGTGGTGGCACCCTGGCTATGGAATGTGCTCCCTGGAGAGGTCCCCCTGGCGCTGTCATTATATGCTTTTTGGCGCCAGGTCAAGACCTTTTTATTCACCCAATATTTTAATGTTTAATAGATTTTTAATTTTTATTTCAGTCATGGGTTATTTAGTTTTATTATTGTTTGGGGTTTCATGATATTTATATTTATACTGTTGTATTTATTGATTTTGTTGTGAGCCATCCAGAGACGCAAAGTGATTGGATGGCCTAGAAATATCCCAAATAAATAAATAAATGAAACTGATTAAGATTTAAAACAAGGGAAGATTGAACTCAGTTTAAATTGACAAAAATATTGATTTGAAGTATTTATTTTTTAATTTTGTTTATTAGATTTATATTCTACCTTTTTTCTTTCTTTTTAAAGAACTCAAAGCAGCTTACATCATTTTCTTCCTCCTGCTCTCAGTCTTATCCTTACAATAGCTGCCCTGTGAGGTAGGTTGGGCTGAGAGTCTGTGACTGGCCCAAAGTCACCTTGTGGGTCCTATGGCTGTGGGGGGACTAGAACCCAGGTCACCTGAGTCACAGTCCTGTGCTCTTAAGCCCTGCACTGCAACACACACACTTTGCTGCAGAAAACAAATTTGGCAACTATTTCCACTATTACTTTGTTATAAGCTCATTAAACCTAAATATCACAGTTAATTCTGAATATTTAAATAAAATAAGCATATGTGATCTATTCCATGATCTTGCTAAAATTATTTAAAAACACATGCTTTAAGGTTTCTGTAGCTCTGTCCATATAACGACGACTAAATGGTCATCCAAAAAAGATGCAGGGGAAAACCTGTTAAAAACATAACTAAATTATAAATGCATTTTAAAATCCAGAGCAGTAGAGAAAAAACACAACGACCCAGTAAGCAAAAAGCTTGTTTATATAAAACGGTTATTGCTTGCCAACAGATGGCATCACCAAAGAGCTTAGACTTGAAGACCCACTGTGTACCCAAGAAGTATAATGGAAATAGCTTCACCCTTAGAACTCTAGTGGGAACTCAGCACCAGTTCTAGAATAGGGACATCTTCCTCCAGAAGGGGGTGGAGTGAGAGCAGAAAATGTACGATGGCTTGCTCTTGATCAGCAGGGATGGTAGCATTGCATTGCTGTTTTTAAGTGGTGCATGCAGACTGATACATGTGCATCTCTTCAATTCAAATGTAATCTTAGAAGCACAGCAAATAGTTTCAAATGCTTTGGAATATAAACTGGATATAATGAGCAGAGGACCGATACTCACTGTGGGTCCTGTCCAAGTATTGGTAAGAGCCATGGCAAAAAAGCCATCTGCAGACCCGCTGCAGCTATGCAGCTAGCCCTTTTGGGAGCTAGCTGACTTGGTATCAGGGTAAGCATCAGAGGAGCTGTGTCAAGGGACCTCACCCAGCAGGGGCTGAGTGGCAAGAGGACCCTGATTTAGTCCTCCTTTTTTGCCATAGCCACCTGCTTGCTCCAGCCCAGACAATGGTGGAGGATCACTGTGTACAAGTAGGGGAAGTTTAAACCTCTTGTTCAAAATTCCTGTTTTCCAAAATTCTCCCTCCCTGTGATTTTAAATCTTGATACCCCCATTTAATCAAAGGGGGTACCACATTATGACAAGATCGGTATATGGAAATAGGCTTCTGCTCGAGCATGGGTTGGGGTGTGGGTGGTGTCTGTCAATGCAGCCTTGCTTTCAGTTGTTTTTACATGTAACTTTGAGTTGGAGGTGTATATAGCTTTAGTGCACCTTTCCCCAACCTAGCACTCTCCAGATGGGAGTTGTAGTCCAGTACTTCTGGTGGGTGTTGGGTTGGGGAAAGGTACTTAAGTTGATCGACGCTTTCATTGCTTTTAGATAGGCTGGATCATTTAACTAGCTTTGCAGGCCTATATTTAACAGATGCCTGGTTTGCTGTTTAAATAGGGAAACAAGCCAGTGTGACTTCATTCACTTTGTGTATATAATGGGAATGACTTGTATGAATAGCAAACTTTTTTTTTTTTTTTTGGTTTGGCAAATAGGTGGGTAAGCACAGTACCATCCAATCACCTGCGGTTGCTTTTCCTCCACCCCCTCAGAGCAAGCAACTTCATACCACCTACTGCTTCTACTTTTTAAGGCAGATACTTGAGGAAAAATCCTCCTGAACCATTTGCTGCCTGCACCTAAGAAAAAGGAGACCTGCATAATCTGAATACTAGTTGTTGGGTGAGTAAAAGTTGGAACTGAAATTAAGCTGGTATTGAAATAGTTGTTAGAACAAGTTCCATGCTAAGGTAAATCTGTGAGTTACTTATAACATTGAATTTTAGGAATTCTTAAAAGCTGACCATTTTTCCTGTCATAAGCTTTCATGGATAGTGTTCACTTCACTCTGTGTACAGACAGTTATAATTACCTTAACTATTGTAATTCACAAAATAATGAGTAATAGCAAAAGCCCCATTGCAATGCTTGGCCAATTAACATATGTTAACCTACAGCAAACAAATTTTCTCCTAATGTCCTTATTCAAACCATAGGAAACTGATATAAATCTCTTGATGAATTGTACTTCAGCAATTTCATGCTTATCTATCTTTGGTAAATTGCAATAGTAATTTAGTAACCTGGAAAGTGTCCCCTAAAAGTCCTTTCCATCAGCAGCACATTTAAACGTAGAAGCTATGTTGGATACTTTAAAGGGGAAGAAACAAAAGAGAACAACATGTGGAATGTCCAAAACTCTTATCAACTCTGTTTCTCTAAGAATGTTCCTGCCTCTATAGATTAAAAGCATATAAGCTAGTGCATAGTTTAATAATATTTTGAGAAAGCATAGAAAATACAATACTCAAGTGGATGATAATACATGAGTAGGAACTACCTTCCCATGGATTAGTTTACAAAGGTTGTCTGGCTCATGAGGTAGAAATGAATTCTCTGGAGTTGGGGGTGAAATTCTGGTTTAGGTGGTGAAGGCTGCAGTAGAAACTTTTGATAAGATGTATTAAGAAAGACAAGAGAAGGAATGGAAAGGCTGGTGTGAGATTAATTTCATTGCAAGGGGAGAGAGATTTTGCACGTGGTAAAGAAACTGCTGTATAATTTCACTCTATAATGCCTTGTAACTGTGACATGTTGCTTTAAAAAGTTCCAATCTCTGAAGTGTATTTTGGTTTACTTTCATGAAGCACATTAACAAGCAAATAAACGTACAATCCTGGGCATGTTTGGACAGAAAACGTCCTTCATCTTCGAGATGTCACATTGCTCCTGCTGGCTGGAGCAATCTGGAAGTTGTTCAACTTCTTTTCTGTCTAAACATGCATAGAGTTGCATGCTAAATATGCATTTTATGGATGCCATAGGAAAATGTATAGAAATTCTCCATGACTTTCTGATGTGATGGAGCCCAGCACATGCTATGTCTTGTGGGATGTTTTCTCACAGTCAAATAGCATATGGCAATTCCTCTTATATATGCCCATGCTTGAGCATAGTTTCCCTCACTCCAGGTAATGGCTAAGTTAGACATTAAGTGCTTACTCACTTACCTGGGAGTAGTCTGACTGAACTTAATTGGGGTTTCCAGGAGAAAAGCATAGGATTGTGCCATCAGGTGTTCTGTTTTGAAGCATCTTGCCGTGAAGGATTATCAGTGCTTCTTGCTTATTACAGTGATTCTGAATGCCACCGGTGTATCTGTCTGCCGTGATAATGCATCTCTCATACTGAGCTCTTACTTTCAGGCACAATCAATATTAGAACCATTTCGCACATTATGACTTTTCTATGGGCAGCCGCAGATGCGCATTCTGGGGAGTTTTGGTTCTATAGGAATCCCTTTTCTCACCTGTGAAAAGAATGTGATTTAAGCAAAATGTAATGAGTTAAGTACCAACATATTGATGTTTATCCAGTGCTTGAAACTTCTTCAAATCAATAAGTAGCTGTCCAAGTAGCATTTTTTCAGCTTCCCTGAAAATAAAATTAATTCTGCACATGTTTAAATTTTCTAGTAATGAAAACTGCCTAAATTTTCCCTTAAATACATATTCTGTTATACTCCAGTAGATTTTGGGGGGATCGCTAATTCTTTATAGGTACTGTAATAATCTCTTTCATTTATTTTTCAGACTTCCTCATCCAAAATGATGACCTGCGGATCAGCCGTGTCATTTCTTCAGTGCCTTTTGCGGAGAAAAATCATCACTCTGGACAGCCTTGAAGATTCCAAACTATGTCGTTGTTTATCCACTGTGGACCTTATTGCCCTAGGAGTTGGAAGCACCCTTGGAGCTGGTGTTTATGTTCTTGCTGGAGAAGTTGCAAAATCAAATTCTGGACCTAGTATTGTAGTCTCTTTTCTCATAGCTGCTTTAGCGTCTGTGATGGCAGGACTTTGTTATGCAGAATTTGGTGCACGTGTTCCAAAGACTGGCTCTGCCTATCTGTATACTTACGTAACTGTTGGCGAACTCTGGGCTTTTGTTACTGGCTGGAATCTCATTTTGTCCTATGTTATAGGTAAGCCTGAAAGACCTTGGGATAGGAAAATGCCAGTTACAGACTGTTTGGCTTTCTTCCCTGGATGCTGTTCAATACTTTGAAGTCTCTCCCTCTCTCTCTCTCTCTCTCTCTCTCTCTCTCTCTCTCTCTCTCTCTCTCTTTTCTATGACTTTTTTTTAAAGAAGATTTGAGATGGACTGTAACTTGAAGGACAGTTCAAGGGACATTCATTATAACTTTGTTGATGTTTTAAAATTTGATCCTACAAATTTAGAACTCATCAACTTTGAAAAATGTTATATAAAGGTTAATACCTATATATTTTGTCACTGACATTTGCAAAATCTATGTCTTTTCCATTTTATTAAGGTACATCAAGTGTAGCAAGAGCATGGAGTGGCACCTTTGATGAACTTCTTGGGAAACAGATTGGTGACTTCTTCAAAACTTACTTCAGAATGAATTACTCTGGTCTAGCAGAGTATCCAGATTTTTTTGCAGTTTGTCTTATATTGCTCCTAGCAGGTAAAATATTTTAAATATTCACTTTTATTATATCCAGTATAATTTTGTGAAGAGGAAGAATCCACTGTTGTGACAGTTTTTGTTTTCGTATCTCAATTGCTGTGTATCTGTAATTTTACTAACTTGTCGGCCAAAAAATATTTATTTGGAGCAGCATTGCATGCTGGCAATTTGCCTTCTTGAAACAGATTGTGCTAATAGTAATGGCCATTAGTGTATTGAGAAGCTAGCAGTTGCTGGTGGAACCCAGAAGAATACCTGAAATGGGACCAGACAGTATAGTTTCCTTCTGGCAGCTTCACTAACTAGTCCCATTCAAGCTGTGGTGGTTTTGGCTAGCTTCTAGTTGCATTAGCAAGCATTGTTTTTTCATTGCACTAGCAGTCATTCCCACTAGCACAGCAGCGGCATTGGGAACTGCCCCCTGGTGGCACAATTTTCTGCTGCTTTGTTCTGTTCTAACATTATCTTAAACAGGCTTCCAGTCAGACTATTGGGACTCAGGTGATCTGAGTTCTAGTGCATGCTTGGCCAGTCACAGAATCTCAGCCCAAATTATCTCACAGGATTGTTGTGGGGATAAGACTGAGAGCAGGAGGAGGGGAATGATGTAAACCACCTTGAATTTGTTGTAAGGAAAAAGCAGGGTATAAATCTAATAAATACATAATAAATAAAATAAATCTGGGTATATTTCAGTGGAGATCAAACATTATGTGCCCACACTGTTGCAATTCTAAGATTATCATTTCTTCCACTAGTCATGTATTCATGTATATGCTAGATATGGCATGTACAAGGATAACAATCTGATTTAGGATAGTACAGTGAAAATTCTATTCCAGTGCAGTTAATTTAACAAGAAATATTCATTTTAAGAAGTATGGATTTAATCACCTGTATTATTTTGATTTATTAAGTAGATCTATTACATTATTCTTACTAATGGTTATGACTTTTCCCCCCTGTAAAACAGAGCATATTTAATCCAAGAGTACTGTTACTATAAACATAGGCTCCTGACTCTTGCTGGCTAAAGAGTGTAATAACTTTTTAAAGTAAGATATAGCATTCACCAACTCAGCAATCACATATATAGCAGCTCAGATGCCCATCAACTGCATGCACAATGTCTGCATCAGCTGAGGTTCACATCTGTATGAGTCCCACTCCTGCCATGTCAAATTCGTCCACCATCTTTTTTCCCAATGGCAACTTCAAACCTATGGTGTGCTAAAAGGTTCAAATGTAGCTTGTTAGGAGGAAAGAAGCAGTTCTCTCATAGAATGTAGCCCAGGGGAGAGTTCCATGGGAATGAAAATAGCCATCGGGGGCTCTGAAGTTACCCATTCCTATTGTACCACAAAAGTGCTTTGTAAATATTACAGGAATGTAACACTGTGCATGTATTCCCAAAGCAGGCTTCTGTTGCGCATGTAGTTGCAGGTGCTTAGGTGTATGTGTGGAGCATGGATCCCATGGTGTGCACATAATTTTCACCTTGGTGAAGGTGTGAGTCTGCCTTTTGTGATAACCAATGGAAATAAAATATTGTAAAGAAATAGAAAGCATTATAGTGAAATACAAGTAAACCTTCATTATGGTGGTACTCATTTACTTTTATAGGTCTTCTATCTTTTGGAGTAAAGGAATCCGCATGGGTGAATAAAGTTTTCACTGCAGTTAACATCTTGGTCCTCCTCTTCGTCATGACCTCTGGTTTTGTGAAAGGCGACATTAATAACTGGAAGAAAACAGAGGAATTTCTTACAAACTACACAGCAAAAATAAAGTAATATGGGGGATGGGAATGGTTAGATATCTTTTTGTCTCTTCAGGAGTGTTTGCATGTAACAGTAAATCTTGGTTTAGCTCTACATGGTTGAGCAGAAAGGAGACCATGCAAAGAGCTGAGCTTGAACTCTCCTCCCTCCCTTCTCTTCCCATTTAATTTCACTTTAGCAGATTGCTGACTTATTGTGAACCAGGATTGTGGCTGGTTCACAGAAAAAGTTCAAGGCCATTATTAAACAACAAAAAACTTGTTTGTTCTTTGCATATTTCACAAAGTAGAGTTCTTTTAAGCACAATTCCTAGTTTGTACATTATGGCAACCCAGAAATCTGTCAAAGCAGTTTATTCCTATGGATTGCATAGGAATAGAGAAGCGGGGAGTGTATAGAGCCAGTGCTTTTCATGGGCTCTCTTTTGCTAGCTTAGATTGCGGTTTAGCATTACCTGCAAATACTAGCAATATTTCTGCACAGAATGGAGATTTTGAATCATTACTGAAGTAGGAAAAATGTAATGAGACTTGTCCTTATTTTATTAACATAACATTACATGTAGTGTTTAGAATTCAAGTACAGTGAACAGTTCCATTGCAAATTGAGGGGTGAAGGAAGTAATGGAGTTGTGATCTTTGGAATGAAACATCTGTTTTGGTTGTGGGGAGAACTCTCACTCTTTTGTAAGATGTCTTGCAGGATAACTTTTAATTTATAATTTCTTAATCTAGATTCTGAAAAATCTTGTACTATAAGCCTTGTGGTTAAAATCTGGTTGATACCTTATGATTACCACCAGGATTTTGATATGGTGTATGCACTTTTTGATAGCAGTATGTCAAAAAAAAAAAAAAAACTTGCCATGGAACTGCCAATCCCTTTGATAACTATAAACTGAAGCACTTCTTAAAATAAGTCTGAACGTCCCAAATTCCAAACTATTAAGCTAGCACTGCTTAGCCCAAACCCATAGGTTCTGTACATATTGGACATGTGAAATGGCAGTGTTTTTCTATGCTCATCTATATGCAAACACCCATTGCATATTTAAATTACATTCACTTGGCAGTAAATGCTGACACTTCAGGAAGAATAGTAAAGAGTAAAAAAAACAAAAAAAAAAAACCAGATAATGAAATACTGTGTGTGAATTCTGCCTTTAATTATTCTGAATCTCTTGAGTGGGATTTGTTGTGTAGTTAAATAACTTTTTCAGCTGAAGATCTGGGATTTGAGATTCAGGTTTCTATAAAGAAGTGCTTGGAAACATGATCTTCCAGATTTTGCTGGAATACAAATAACAGAATCTTTGAACTTTGCTGATGGACTGATAGGATTTGGGAAGTCTAACAACATCTAGAAGGGCACAGATCCATCCCTCAATCCCTGTAATGTAATATTGGAAATTGCTTGAGTATTGCCAGAGCAAGTGAATAATAACTCATTAAAAGAACAATGGCCTTTATAATTTTTGAAATTGTTTCCTTCAGAAATCTATCATCTTTTGAGAACGTGACAAGTGCATTTGGAATTGGTGGCTTTATGCCATATGGCTTTACAGGGACTCTGGCTGGTGCGGCAACCTGCTTTTACGCTTTCATAGGATTTGATTGCATTGCCACAACTGGTATGTCACTGTTTTTCAAAAACTTGGTTACTCAGTTGAATTTGTGATTTATATGTAGTACAGCTACTGATCTGGTTTGCAGGCAACAACTGCCCAGGATTTATTAACTATGTGTTGCTTAGCAGTGTATGCAAGAATGCTGGCTCCTGTCCATTCAGCCTTTTATGCTTTGCTAAGCCGACAAAGTTGTCCTTAAGTTAAAACTGTAGATTGGTTCTCCCTTGACAATTCAGAGTTCCAGTTGTTGACCATGAGGTGCACATCATGGTCAACAACCAAGGGATGAGGCACCTCTGGGCTGTTTAGCAGAGTGAAACCTGCAACTGGTCCAATGCCAGCATGCTTGCTCACTGGTACCACATACTCCCAAATAACCCACAGTTGGTTAGCCCTGGGTTGTTTGTTGCATTTTAATCAGCTCAATATGTATAACTGCTGCACTCTGAAAGCTTGATTCTATAAATGTTGGAAGGAAGCCCACATCTCTGCAGTGGAGCACATACTTCATACATTGTTTATCTAATACTTTCCTTTGCCGCCTTTCAAGACTATGATCATCACACAGCGGCTTAAAAGCACCTTGCATTTAAACAATTGAAAAAACAAGACACTTGTAATAAAATGTCAGATGACTAACAAGTAAATATGACAAAATGTTTTCTTTTAAAAGTCAGAGACAAGGGGTATGTTTTTGAAGACTCTTTATAAACAGTCAGAGTTGTTGTTGCTTTTAAACTGCAAGGCTGTAGCAATTTCTAATATAGCATCAGTAAAAACAAAGTAATTGCTGTTTGGATGACTCTCTTATTTTCTTAGCAATTTTTATTATTCCAAATTTATTCCTTAATGTATTTTCCTGCTGCTAACAGCAGTCCTTATCATGCTTAGCAGTAAGCATTGTACTGTTAATACGTCTTTTGAATAAGCTTGTATGAGGTTGTGCTTTAGTCATATAAACTGGCATAATTTAATGTTATTAGTTTTTGTCAAGAATAAATTTCTAATCTTTATAAATAGAAAATTTTCAAACTCCCCAAAACTCAGTTTTGATCAAAAATATAATACTTTTTTGCAGTTTTTATACCTTTATGTGCACCGACTAGATTGGAAATTGTATTTCTTTATTATACCTTATGGATGAATTTGCTTCTCTGGATCTAGCTGTCATCATTCATACTTAAAATAAACATTTTAACTTTGTTTTATTCCATAGGGGAAGAAGTCAGGAATCCCCAGAAAGCCATACCCATTGGAATTGTAACTTCTTTACTTGTCTGTTTTATGGCCTATTTTGGAGTTTCAGCTGCTTTAACTCTTATGATGCCATACTACTTACTAGATGAGAATAGCCCTCTCCCTGTAGCATTTGAGTACGTTGGATGGGGTTCAGCAAAATACGTCGTAGCAGTTGGATCTCTGTGTGCCTTATCCACAAGGTAAAAACAATGGAATTGAAGTAATGGTCAGGAAAATGATCTTAATGAGGACATCAGCTTATTCAGAAGTGTTGATTCATTGGGTTCACAGAATTGTTAAGAAAATATAACTAGTTGTCAGTCTAATTCTGTTAAGGATTGTATCTTTAGTTGTATCCAATGTTAGATTCATTTAGAATGGGACTTAAGTTAGATGAACAAAGCATACAACCCAAGGTTCATAGTTTGTGTATATTAGTTAGAGGATAGTTTGATCATAGAATTGAGCCTGCCTATATCTTGTAGCCCTCCATGGCTTTTTCTATTTTTCTTTCTAGGAAAAGGTGGAATAATTGTATAATATATTTTGATTGCTAGTACTAGGAGCTCTCCAGTTGCCCAAGAAAAATTATTTGCATGGCTCCCGTTTGTCCCTCTTCCATTTATTGAACACAGTTGGCTGAATATTGTCTAGAGTTCACTGGAATAATATAAAAATACATGTAGATGTTTGCAACAGCAACACCCTTAAGTTTCCTTTTGCAGCCTCAGTTAAAGTTTATATGTGTTTCACAAATTGGTGCAGAATCAAGAAAAGCCTAATGCTGATGTATCTTTGCACTAAAATATATAAAAATTCTTCAACTGAAGTTTATGAAAATGTTTGCATATTTTTACATCAGTATGCATTCAGAGAAGCTGCATTAGACTTGAACTTTAAAACTTGCTTAAGCTGGTTGTACCTCCACTTCAGCTGGCTTTCTAAGGTTGAAAGAGACACAGAGACTATCAAGCCCAACCTGCCTATCCTAGTCAGTTTGAACTATATATGCCTTCAGTGCACCAAGTGCTTGCTGACTTAAACAAGTTGCAGAGATCATGTCTAGTGTTTAAAACTAGTAGCTCTGTATTTGCTTCCTAACATTTGCATATGATGGTTTGCTAATAATGCTGAGAATGTTTGGATAATGTAGCATTTAAAATTGGCAGACACTATGGCTATATTTAAATGACCTGGCATTTGGCATTCAGCAGTAAATGAAATTGGCTACGATATTCACTACGTTTTCATCTAATACAGATGTGGCATTCCTAATCTCTGAATCACACTTGAAAGATCAGGACTGGCTGTAGCATAATACCGTCCCTCCTCCACTCCTATGTGACTTCCCCTCTCCCTTTGAATTGCTAGAACCATGATAAAATACGACATCTGCATCTGTGCTAATCAAGATTGTCTTTGCAACCAAAAAACCCTGAAACTTTGGGTTGAAATAAATGTGCAAATCCTGAGTAGGACAGATTCTGTTAGTGCTGCTGTAGATGTAATACTCTAGCATGGTAAATGGAAGGGAAGAAGGGAGATTGATCAAGAGAAGGGCATGTGCAGTCCTATAGCACAATCATAATCTCTTAGCTTTTGCTAGGAAATCAGAAATATCAGATCTGCACAGGGTCAAAATGCCCCCTCAACTACTTAACAAGCATTTTCACTTGCATTGCAATCCTGGACTTGTCTATTCAGCCCTAGTGAATTAAGTGGAACTTATACCCAGTTAAGGATGTACAGGGTTGCAGATTTAATCTCATAGGCCATAAAGGTCCTTCTATTTCAGCCCCACATATTGCATATGGAGCTGTTATTCTCTTTTAAAATCAAATGGCTAAGTGTGTGTATCACCCCCAACATAACACAAATACATGTACAGGCGGTCCCCAGAACAAGTTCCATTCCTGAGAAAATGGAAATTTATCTTTAGGTCATATTTGTATGCAAGTCAGATCATGTATAGTTGACCTTCCACGTTTGCAGGAGTTAGGGGTGCAAGTCCTCTAGCACAACCCTCTGTGGCCAGGAATTGGTTAAGAGATTTCCCTCTCCGTAAGGGCAGGGTAGGGAGGCATGCTTTGGAGACCTCCCTGTCTACTCTTTCACTTCTTCTCTATGGTGGTGTTTTGGAGGCCTTTCTTCTCTTCCGCTTCCTCTCTCTCAATGGACAATTTCCTGCAGTAATTTTGTTAAATTAATAGGCTTTATGGCAGGCATGGGTTGTTCATTACTTGGATGTTCATAACTGGGAGACTGCCTGTACATCAAAAAACAGGAGTTTCCCCACTTAAATAGTGGGTACTGGAAGGACATTAGGATTATTAGAACTGTAGAAGAGAGCTGCAACAAACTCAAATGAGCTCCAATTTCTTTGAATTCAACTCATGGAGTGTCTTTTTCCAAATCATGCAGATTTGCAGAACAAGCTTTTAAAAATCTGTAATTTTACACAAAGTTGAAGAAAAAAATAGAAAAAAAGATAATAAAAAGTTCATTTTCCCCATAGGCTAAAGCATGCAAATACACATTTTGTGGGGGGGAATTTCTGCATTTTTTGGAAGTATGAATTTGCACAGGAGCAAATGTGTGTGAACATATTTGCACAAAATCCCATTTTGCAAGTGAGAGAACAACAAAAAGAAACCTCGAAAATCCACAGAATGTTGACAGAATGGATTTTTCAAATGGATTTGCACATCCCTACTTAGAATAATTGTTAAGTATAAAAGTAGAAAATAGAAATACATAAAATAACAGAGAAATAGGAATCATTTGGTGGGTTACAGCGCTCATTGATTTCTCTGCCCAAGAGTTGCATGTGATCCTTGCACAGTCACGCGCCACATAACCAGCTTGGAAATGTAATGCATTTTCCAAGTCTCCAGGTATTGCACTTGGATGTATGCAGATAGCTTGGAAAGTAACTAGTGAAGTCATATGAATGGCTCAACAAATGCAGATTTATTATGGCAAAACATAATCTAAGCCTGGTCAAAAATCAAAGGCAGTTTATAAAGCTTTAGCAAGAGACATTGTTCATCAATAGCTTTCATATTTCTGGAGGGTTTGCATTTTTAAACATATTGTTCCCTTTTACCCTCTCAGTAAAATTAAGTAAGAGCAACTTGGGGAGAGCTCACTGTGACAGAACCAATTCTTTGTATGGAGAAGATCCCAAGGTCTAATCCCAGGTCTTTGAGGATTTCAGATTGCAGGACTGGGCAGAATCTTTGCTTCCTGCCCTTAGCCAGTATAATATGATTTGCTGCCACACAGATTTAGAACAATGTTTCAATTTAAATTAATGTATTATGCAATTGATTATGGGCATTTTTAATGAGGATTTGTTGACTGCGGGATGATACTGCCTGTTCTTAATTCTGCTGCCTGGTGCAATCTTTTAAGGTGTGGTAATGCTTAATTGCATTGCAAATATTGCTAGATGTATACAGTATTGTAGAAGAATGACAGTGAAGACACAAGTTATTTTTGTTATCAGTTAATGAATATTTCATTCCAACTATTATGGACAGCAAAATCATTAATGGATAAAATTAACTATAATTGAGAAAATGATAACATTACATTCAGAGAGTTAACAAGTTACACCCTACAAATATTGTACAGCTATCACCTTTACAATTTACAAGCATTTTGTAAAACTTAAATTATGTTTGGACAAACTTTGTATTCTGGTTCCTCCATCTGTCACAAGCTAAACTTGGTTGGACAGAAGAAATACAATTTTTGACTTAGCCATTGGCACTGGACAGATCCCTTATCAAATTTGAAATTCTCCCTTGGTGTCCACCATAATGAACAAAATAATAAATAATGGCACAAAGCCTTTATCACAAGGACACCACAACTACAAAGGCACTGTCCTCTTGAATTTTATCATTATATCCCTTCAAAAATATCACTGTCAAACGCAATGAATGAGATGAGGTGCAGCTGCACTTCTACCAATGCAGAAAATATCAGAGCTGGGTCTTAAGGCTACACTGTAATATGCTGTTTTCTAGATATCTAGATATTAATTGAAGGCTCAAGAAACTTGTCTCTTAACTGTACTGTGTCTCTGTAGAGTGTACCCCCCATTCCCTCATGTCAATTATGTTTCTGGTATCACAGGCTTGTGATTAGCATTGTTGTTCTTTTCCCTAATACATTGCATGGATTTGTGTTCGCCATGTTGCATGTTCTTTTGCTTTTTATTCAGTCTCCTTGGATCCATTTTCCCAATGCCACGTGTAATCTATGCTATGGCGGAGGATGGGTTGCTTTTCAAATGTCTAGCTCAAATCAACCCCAAAACGAAGACTCCACTTATTGCTACTTTGTCATCGGGGGCTGTGGCAGGTGAGGCTGTAAGCAGGTTTGTTGTAAGGAAAATTAGCAGCTTTACCCATGTTCAAACATTAAAGTAAGATGCTGACAGGCAGTTTTGGTGCAGCTACAACTCATAGCATGTAAATATTTTGAGTAAACACAGTAATACTTTCGTCTCTGGCAGACCTTATTTTTGGTTGTAGAATCTTTTATCACAAGTACATTTTACAGATAAAACTCCCTTTCCCCGAGTCTGAAGTTTGGGTTAGCATTAGCATGTAAGATTGTTACTGTGGCACTTGAACAACTTAATTTTTTTGTTCTAGTCTTCTGGGCTCTATGTTCCCTTTGCCCCGCATTCTGTTTGCCATGGCCCGAGATGGTTTACTGTTTAGATTTCTTGCCAAAGTGAGCAAGAGGCAGTCTCCAGTTGCTGCCACATTGACCGCAGGGCTCATCTCTGGTAAGCTCTGTAAACTTAGGTCTCACTTTGTTGAGATCAGAACCCTGTTTTCACATGCATAATTCTGTGATAAGAGGGGTCTGCTTGCTAACTTTTTATGCATGTAAATTGGGAACAAAACTGCTGACTAATCCAGGAGGTGTAGCAGTTCTGAATTGTGGTGGTGGTGGAAGAATAAGCTCTCAAGGTTGTCTCTAAAACTTTCTTCCAATGTGACCAATGATACTGTGTTATGCATGTTTAAAGAAAGAAACATAAATGAATTCGTTGTAAAAGTCTGTGCTTTTTCAGGCCACTGAATTCTCCTTTTTGCAGTATTCATTATGCACAGTTCATCTAAGCTTTTCCTAAATAAAGCTCTGTAATTAATACTCTGATTAAGTTGTGTTCAGCAATTTTACAATTGCAAATGTAATGTGGCATCAGCGGTGTGCCCATCCACCATATATGGCATTGCTATTTAAAATATCAGCATGGGTGGTCTCAGTTTTAAACAGTGTTAAAATGAGACATTGACATTTTGCCAGTACAGAATATGCAGCCACCATGTAGCTGCTGTTTTCCTCATGCAATAGTCTAATGGCTAAAATTTGTACAAAGGGAAACAAGTAAAAGGTTTTAGAATCGAAAAAATAGTGAAGAACTGTTTCCTAAAAATGAGGACGTTCTGCAGACTTCTGTGATTTCATGTAGTATATATTCCTAAAACATTAAATGTCAAATACGACTTAACCATATTGATTTAAATGTATGAAGACTAAATAACTTTAACTTTTAAACTTTAGGTGATAACAATTTCCATCTTCTACTTTTAAATGTGTACTTCCCTCTCTTTTGCAACTCTTACCTCTCTGGGGACTTCTTCTCTTGCCCCTTCTGGTGTTGCCACCAGTGCCAACGATGGTTCCTTGTAAACCACCTTATAAACTATGGTTTGCATAGAACTAGTATTGAATCTACAAAGCATAGCAACATTAATGTAGAATCCATGCTATATTTCCACTGTGTTTTTGCACAACTCACAACCCCCAATACATGACTCAGTTTTAACACTGTTTAAAGAGGGATTGTCTTTTATGAGTACTTGCGAGCTAAACAGAACTCTTTGCATGAGCTTTGTGCAGGAAAGCAAAAGGAGCAAACTTTGATATGGGCAAAATGCATCAGGAACACCCATCAAAATGAACAGAATTTGAGCCAAAATAACAGCTTCCTCAACTCCCATTGATTAAACAGGAGTTATCCACAGTGGATTTTGCCCATTAAATTTATGCATGTATTTAAATATATGTCGTTTATTCTGCAAAAAAGTTTGATTTTCTTATGTTTAAAATGAACCATTGAAAACAATTGTGTAAACATGGGTGTTAATTTGCTAATGTTTGCGAGAATGAAATATTTAAATCAAAAACGCCATATAATACTGTTGTATTTTACATCGTCCATAAAGCACACGATTTATTATTTTCATAATTTATAGGCTGATGCCTTGAATTAAATGGACATTTTCCCATGCTCCAAGGCCAAATACTGAGCATTTCAGGATATGGTGGTAGGAAATAGCCATACAACACTTTAATACAAATTATGTTTCATTCTTCTAGCTGTAATGGCTTTTCTGTTTGACCTAAAAGCCTTAGTAGACATGATGTCTATTGGTACACTTCTCGCATACTCACTGGTAGCTGCTTGTGTTCTCATTCTTAGGTGAGTTCCAGTTTTGCATCAATCAGTAATTTGTAGGACAGTGACCTGTAGTGTGTGTGTGTGTGTGTGTGTGTGTGTGTGTGTGTGTGTGCGTGAGAGAGAGAGAGAGAGAGAGAGAGAGAGAGAGAGAGAGAGAGAGAGAGGGTTTCTTGCCCTCAAGAGGCTTTCTTGAGGGTTTTTTGCCACAAAAATTATTGGTATATAGTAAAAAATACCATTTAAATACAGAATTTGATTGAGAAAAACATGTACATCTGTGGCAGTGGCTGTTTGATTTGGATTAAATACTGTTGCTTAAATAAATGGTGAAGGAATGTCACATATCAAATGGATTTTGTCTGTTCATAGATGAGCTCTGAAGAGCTTTGTAAAAAAAATATTTTTTATTTATTTATTTATTTATTAAAACATTTTTATGCCGCCCCATTTGCCGAAGCCTCGGGGTGGCTTACAACAATAAATTAAAATAACATTTTAAAATATATACATTAAAATACAAATATATAATATAAAACATACAATATAAAACAAGCCGCCCTGGCCAAATAAAATTCAATAATATTAACATTTAAAATACTGCTTAAATAAAAAGGTCTTTGCCTGGCGCCGAAAAACAAATAACGACGGCACCAGGCGGACCTCTCTGGGGAGCGCATTCCATAACTTAGGCGCCACCGCTGAGAAAGCCCTCCTCCGAATAACCACCCTCCTAACTTCTTCCATGGAGGGCTCCCGGAGAAGGGCCTCTCCCGCCGATCTCAGGGGGCGGCTGGGCATATAAGGATGTAAGCGCTCCTTCAGTTAACCAGGACCCAAGCCGTTTAGGGCTTTATAGGTCATCACTAACACCTTGAATTATTCTGGAATGTATGTGGACTTCCATTTTCTTTCAGCCTGGTTTTATATAAACACCATTTGTGTGTTTTGTGTGTGTGTATGCATATAGGTACCAACCCAATTCAGACTATGAGCAGCCAAAATATTCAGCTGAAAAAGAGGCTCTTGCAGGACCCGAAAGAGAATCTCAAATTAGTATGATACCCGGGCACAGTTTTAGCCTACAAACGCTGATTAACCCATCAAGTTTGCCAACTGAACAGTCTTCCAACATGGTGAATTTTCTTGTGGGTCTTTTGGGTAAGTCAAAGTCTCTGAATACATGGGACAAGTAAACAAAACAAAATATTAAATTTGTCCTTAATGAGAGGAAGTGTTGTGTGGTGGTCAGAGTATTGGACTGCAAATGTAGAAAATCCAGGTTTTTGTCTGCACTCAGCCATACAGCTCACTGGGTCAGCCTAACCCACCTCACAGGGTTGTTGTAGTGAGACTATCAAGCAACAATGTAAGACACTTTGGGTTCCTCACAAAAAAAAAAAAAAATCACAGAATATAAATTCAGTGTAATGACAATAAATTGTAGAAGGGCCCATGTTCTGGGAGTAATATTGGAGTGACTGCAAATAATCTAATTTTGTTCTGATAATTTACTTTGAAATGAAGTGTTTGGAGTCTTTAAAAACCTTTTTTGAAAATATCTGTCACAGTTGCACAATTCAGATATTATGCAAATATTTGAGATCTTGAAATATTGACAAATTCTATCTCTTCCCTGTTTCCTTCTATAATTTCCACTAAGCTTTCCTGGTTTGTGGCTTAAGCATACTGACCACCTATGGGATTCATTTTATTGCCAATTTGGAACTTTGGAGTCTCTGTCTCCTTGGAGTTCTTTCATTACTGTTTATCAGTGTCATACTTGTCATCTGGAGGCAACCACAGAGTGAACAGAAAGTGGCATTTATGGTAAGGTGCAGGGAGCAGAGTGGGGCAGAGTGAAGGGAACTGACTGCCGAATGTCTGTGCTTTGTACAGAATGTGTATCCTAGCTGGGAAGTGGGGGATATGAAAAATGGAACTACCACTCCCTGTAGTTTGTATGGAAAAAATATAAATGTATAAATGAAGAACCATGACCAGCCACTTACTTACCAACATATTTTATAGCCAATTAATAAATAAGTTATTGCTTGTGAGAACTTACAGAACAATCTGCCTATTAGTTTGTATGGTGCTGAAATGCAGATTTAACTTGCTGGTGCAAACTAAAATGGTGGTTCCTTCTGAAATTTCCACTATGTAGAAGTTTAGTTTTACAAGGATTGTGTTGGTGTATGCGTGCATCCAAAATTAAAAGCAGAATTCTTTTAAAATAAAACATAATGGATCTGTAATACTATTGCATTTTCCTAAGCATATGTATGTAGATATTAGTAATTAAACCCGATATGAAGGATTGCCAGAACAATCGTAACTCCTACATTGATTGGCTGTTGAGGCCTAGGATGGGCTAGAGGTAGTCCTCTGTGGAATGATGCTGAAGGAGAGCATGCATCCCATCTAGAAGCCCCAACGTTACCTGCAGAAAAACTATAGTTGAAATGAGGTATTCTAGCAACAAGTTGAATTAATTTATTATTATTAATTTATTATTCAATTATTGCAGTTAAAATATGGAGCAGATTGGGATTATATTCATTAGAATTGTATAAAGTAGGATTTTCCCATTGAACTTTTATATTGATACATGATTATTTCCTTTTAAAAATGCATGAAAAAGTATAATGTGCTGAATACTTGGCAAATATACTGAATTGTGAAATATTTGTCTCCAGGTTCCACTCTTGCCGTTGTTGCCATCTCTGAGTATCTTAGTGAATATTTACTTGATGGTACAGCTAAGTAGAGAGACCTGGATCCGATTTAGCATCTGGATGGCACTTGGTAGGTGTTCCTGGAGTGGTAGCTGTCATGGGCTTTATTCTCGTAAAACATTCAAGGACATTTTTACATACGAGGTTTTCTACCATAAGAAATGTTGCTGTGCCTGGTTGCATCCATTCATCACACATTCATTTCTGTCTTGTGATAGTTTCCTGAGGTGGAAAGAGAGACTACTTACTGTTGACATAGCACAAGCTGATAAATGCAGTCTTACAAATTTAGGGTGCTACAAAATCCTATGGCAATTGCAATTGCCCAGGTAATATGTAAATCAGTAAAAGAAGCAGTATCTTTGCAATTCTTACATGAGTTCTGGGCTAGGCAACCTTTTGGCCCACAATTCCATCATCCCTCATCATTGTCATGCTGACTAGAGCTGATGGGAGTTGCAGGGCCAAACTTTCCTTCTCTGACACAATAGGTCAGGATTTAGTCTGTTTCTGGCTCCTTCAGTGCTACAGTTTTCCAGGCAAACAGTCTTGATAAGAGGAAATAGAAAGCTTGGAAATACAGGAAATACAAATACCTGGACAAAGCCTTCAAGCTCCTTTTTGTCCTGTTGAGCAATGACTGAGTAAGCCTAGTTTCAAATGCCTGTTCTGCCATGAAGTTCACTTGACTGTCTTGGGCCAATCACCATCTCTCAGCCTAACACACCTCACAGGTCTGTTCTGAGTACAAAATGGGTGGCAGAAGGGAATAGACTCATGGATGATGCTGTGAGTTTACCTGAGGAAGATTGTTTGTACATGTTAAATAATACTGGAATAGACACTCAGTATAGAGGGAGCAGGGAAGAAACCTCTGACTGGAAGCAAGACTGAGCAAATTCAAAGTTGACTCTACTCTGGTAATCTTAGGTAGAGGCTTAGTAATATTGTAGAATATATTCCAGGTCTGGGAAAAAAAATGCTTTCTCTTCTTTTGAAAGGCTTGCTTATTTACTTTGCCTATGGAATCCGAAACAGTGTGGAAGGTCATCCTAGGGAAGAAGAAGATGATGATGAAAACAGTTGCTCAGAAAAAAGTGAAACTCCAGAAAAAAACCATGTGGGAATTGCAAATGAACAAGAAAATGCAAGTGAAAGTGCTCAGTTTATTACGCACGAAAGGACAAGTGAATGTTGAAGGTGGCTGAATCCCATGCTATGTATGTCGTTCAAGCAGTGAACTGTAATGGAATGTAGTTGCTTGGGAGAGCAAAATGGTCCAACATTTACTCCCAAAAGATTCACCTACACCTACTTGCGCTTTGTGATATCATCTACTAGAACCATGAAAGATGATCTAGAGTGACTGCTAGATATATCATCCAAAGGAGATATTCTCAGGTGGTGGTTACCTGATGTGAAACTACCAAGAAAGTGGAGGGGAAGAAGATTTCCATTGAGCTGTCATGCTAACAATGTTGGAAACATGCTTGGCAGCATCCTACAACTTTAATTGACAAGACAACCTAGAACTAATTCCTTAGAGTATCTAGAGCGGTTTGACGTGGTTTACTAGAGAGATGTGGCTTTTGTTTCTGTGTTTTAAAATTGTGATAGCAGTGTTATATAAGCAGGTGACTAGATGTTGTCAGCCCTTCTGCTGTCATAGAAATGTTAATTCTTGAAAAAATATTTTAAAACTGCAGGTGGGTAGGTAGGGAATTTGGCATGTTTTAGCAATGCCATGTTATGCATACCTATAAAATAACGGTATATGTTACATCTTGCTCCACATTTTATGTGCAACTAATACAAAACATTAATAACCTTTCAAAACCTTGCTAATTATATTCAGAAGCAATGCTTGTCATTACTAACATGGATATCCTTCAGTCAGAATCTGTTTTGAAAGTATCTTTATAATAATCCTTTTCCAAATTCACCTTCCTCGTCAGTGAAAATTGAAAACTTAGGCCGTTGCTACTAACTGGCAAGAAAGTTTAATAATAAGTTCACCTACTGAATGTATTTATTTCTGCTGAATGACTGCTTGATATTGCTGAAAGAATGAATATTCTGAGTTTGTCAATAGCTACTACTGTTCCTTTACAGCAGTAATACGAACTCGTGTGAACGTATGCATACTTTACTTTTGATAGATTAGACTCTGGTGAAACAAACGTGTTCATAGTATTCTGCAGCTAAGGAAAACGAAACTCCTAGGACAGGGCTGTAGAACCTTAAGCCCAGGGGTTAAAGATAGCCTTCCAAGCATACCAGTCTGGCTCCTCAGGATTGTTCCCTTGACCCCATCACCTGCTATTTGGTGATTGCCTGGCTTTTGTGCAGACTTTCCCCATTCTGTAAGGTTGAAATGCCTCTCTTAAGGCTTAATTACTGGTAGTGAGGCTTTGGGCCAAAATATTTGACTTCAAACCACCAAAATATTTGATATTTTGACCCAGCTCCATCCCGCGCACCACTGAAATGCAGCCCTTGAGAACCTCTCTGAGGTGAAACTTGTCCTCAGGCTGAAAAAGGTTCTCCACCCCTATTTTAGGATGTCATGAAGCCCAGGGGCAAGGAATTTGGCAGCTTTTGCTTTTGTTTTTGTCCAAATCTAAAAAACTGTGGATCATCTTAACTATAGTTACATGGCAAATTTGATCTCTGTGTTGAAGCTGGCTTGTTTAAACAGACCATTGTTCAATACATAATTTAGTGTTCAGACATAATACTAAAGTCTGGATAACTTGCTTGCAGATAGTCTGATCGCCCACTTGCAGCTGTGGGAGATCTATGTCTTTCTATGGCTTGTTTTCATCAAAATAAACTATAGTTTATTGTTTCCATACACAGACACTGAGGGTTCTCTTACTTTGCTGGAAGTACTGTGCCCTTCAGTGGTTTGGATATTGCCATAGCTGTTCTAATAAGTTCTAAATAAATTATGAACAGACTTTATTTTTCCATGCAATGTGTTTCCATCTTAACGTGTGTGTGTGTGGGGGGGGAGTTTGTAGGAGGTATGTGGAAAAACAAATACCTGATCCAAGTAAGTTTTGAAAGACAATGTTTTGAGGATGATGGATGTTTCCCTATTTTGAGGTAGTATTTTACATATAAATTTTGAGGTCTATTTAAATGCTTAATTCAGAGCAAACAGTCACTTTTTGGTTGCATGTTGTTCTGTATAGTCATATCGATAGGCACTGTAGCTAATTAATAAGTTGCATTTAGGGTACACCATTTTGCAGAGACATAGCAAATACATTTTGAGTCCGGTTCACCTGCTTAGCTTGTTTGTAAGACAGCATATGTGAAAGTGCTTGAGGTAAATAGAGCAAAAAGGAAGCAGAACTGCCTACATCACTGTTTTCCTTCTTCCTCTTAGATGAAGAGAATGTAAGGATAGAGGGAGCTCTCTCCCCTGCAGGAATACTGAATTACAAAAATGCAGTTTGTCTGATGTCTTTTGCTTTGTGAGCTGTAACTTTTTCAAGCTTTTGATTCCAACTATGGGGTTAAAAAAGACATGTCTAAAGGGAAGAAGGACTTCCAGGATTTTAAGGCAGTTTCCCCCAAACTGGCATGCTCCAGATGTATTACATTGCAACTCCCATAATTCCCAGACACTTTGCTTTTTATGAATAAGCTTGTGTAAATGGCTGAAAAGAAACATTTACATAATTATGAAATCAGATGCTTGTGTGAGAAATTTTGTTAAGATAGAATATCTTGACGGCTAACAGTATGTAAATAGTATTACAGCAGAGTCTGAATTATATTCCTGTGATCAGTTGCTTTTTTTGCAGTGCTATAGACTCACTCATTTGAGAACTGCCTAAAGGATTTTTGTATTGGGGAAAAAGTTATTGAAATAACTGAAAAGAGTGTAACATTAAGAGAAGAGAAAAATAAGGGAGGAATGGTGCTTTTTAGTGACTGAAAAAGATTAAGTTTATAATTAATCTTTTAAAAGCATTGGATTGTGTGTACTGTTAAAAGTTTATGAGTAGTAAATATTATAAACAATGAAAACTTAATGAAGAGAGGTGTTATTCACCTTATCTGAGTGAAATAACCATAAATCTGAAGCAAAAGAATAATTTGGATTGTGAGCATCTTCACACTATACTGGATGTTCTTCACATGTGGAAAGGAATTGGCACTGTTGACACTGGCTTAAAAGCCAAATAACTTCCGGATCTCCTAATTTGGCATTTTGAATACAGTGTTGCTCACAAGTGTAGTCGTGGCTTTGGAAAACATGTGGAAAGTGTTCTCTATATACAAAAAGCCTCTGGATCCAGTTTAGCTTATTACTGTAAAAATGGACATATGTAACTGTGTCTTAGAAAAAAGCATTAACATGAAAGGCAGCCCTTGTTCTTTGGTTTCTAGAAGTAATTTAAAGAAATATTCAACTTGAGGGGATGCTCCCACAGGAAACTGGACTGAAAGGTAGCCAAACATTTCCCTAATCAGAGGGAAGCAAGTGTGAAGAAACAAGAATGCCTCTGCTTTATGCTCTGGCCAGCTCATGGTGGCAGTGAGGTGTGCGTTCATGCATTCATTTTAAAATAACAACTGAGGGATCCCGGATTGTTTTACTTCATGTGAATTTGAAACCTCTCAGTTAAATTAGATTAATCCAAAATTAACCCAAACATGCTGGAACTGCCACTGTGACTGTTAGCTATGCAAGAGCTGTATTTATGGTCACATGGATTATCTTTCCTTCCCAGTGCTTACTGGGGACCTGAACAGAAGTTTTTTGCAGTGGGTAGTGAAGGGTACACCAAGAAGTAACATTTTTACATCAGCATAGCTCTGCATTATAAGCTGAAAAAAATTACTACCGTATGAATTTTAAAAAATACAAATTCTTCCACCAGAAAAAGTGAAACCGTTTTCATACTTAATTTTACTACATTCTTTTAGTTCTTGTCTCATTTTATTTTAGTAGGCACTTTGAAAGTATAGGTTACTTTATGCAAGCTTTACATGAGGCAGATCAGAAACTTGGAAAAACATTTCAAAAGAGGGTTTAAAAAGATATACGTAATGTGTTGGATGCAAACATTTCTTTCCATGAACAGAAAAAACTAGGAGAGAAGGGCAATGTCAGTGTGATTTGTCATTCAGGACAACTTCAATTTTGAGTGTTAAAAGGTTCTAGATCCATGGTTCTAAATCCCAAAATAGGTCCATCACAATAGGTGGCTTCTATAATGCTCAAAATAAAAGTTGCACTGGGTAAGGAGCTCCACCTACAGAGGATTCAACCACTTTCCCTGGAAAGTACTCTTTTCCCCAGTGACAAATGGGCTGCTCCTGTCCAAGGAAAGGAATCCTAGTATGTGTGTTTTAATACTTTTCTTGAGAACACAGTGAAAAACATAATGGGAATATGGGTAACCAGTGTGAGTTAACGTGGTGAAAGTGGTTAGCATTGGACTGGGAATCAGTAGATCTGTATTATAGTCTCCACTTGGTCATGAAACTCACTGGGCCAGCATTGACTCAACCTAAGCTACTAACCAGGGTTGTTGGGAGGACAAAAATGGAATGGAGGCAGGACCATAGAAGCTGCCTCTGGTTCTCCTTGCAAGAGGGAAAAGAGCAAGCTATACATTTGATGATAATCATCTAATAAAGATTTTTTAATGCTAAAATTAATACACCATTTTCAGTATCCACAGGCGCATTGGATTATTACTTAATTCTGTGTATGTCTGTTTTGATCACGTGGCAGGTAAATGTTAACAAATTCTGAAAGTTTCAGTATGAACACAGAAGAACAGAATTACCCATCCCAGTCTCGGAGACCTGCAGATCTGCTTTTTTCCAGTGGAATGAATGGGGCAGCCTGTGCACTAGATGAGGCTGTTGCAGCTCTTTGAGAAGGCTTTCTTATTAGCAATTGTTTTTCCCTTCCAGTGAAGAATAGTGGACTGCCCAAGTCCACCCTTTAAACTTTGAATGGGGAATACCTTTGTTTCAATATATAGCCAAAAGCCAATTAAACGTTTCCAAATACCTGAGTTCTTACCATGTCAACAGTTATTACTAACCTGTAGCTAAACATTAGAGAAACAAACGATTTCTTCACTTTTCTTCCCAATGCTACAAAAGTTCAATTCTATTTTTGCCCACTTCAATTGAAGCCAATGGGAAAGAATTGTTCTTAGCCATTCCAGCACAAGCACAGATCACCAGCCAGTTTTGGGTGGGGGTGTCTAGGGGCTGGGAGAGGTGTGAACCCTCCTGGCTCACTTCCAGTACATCTGTCTTTGTCCCTTACTGGTGTTTAAGTTCTAACATTGGAAAGGAACTGCCACTGAAGTTTCCATTCTGGCTGGAGGAGAAATCCGAGGCTGGACTTCTCCACCTGTGGAAGAGGGGAATCCACCATATCTTAAGGCTCCAGGGACATCTCATACACGCACACTTTAGTCATTATTACCATGTATATGTATTTGCTGCACACATAAATAGGGAAAAATTGTTTTAGCTTCAGCCAGGATGTTTAATATACACCATGAAGAAAAAAAATCAGATTTTTTATTAATGTAAAGTTGCATTTAGATATGCAAAGGAAAGAAATACTTGGTGTTTTAACTTTTACAAGAAAATGTCATTACTTTATCGCTACTGTAGACTTTGAGAAGACATGTATAGTGCTGCTGTTCACTGTAAAAGAAAATGCTGCTTGGAACACTTTGTTGCCTTTGTTGTATATTTTTAAAATAAAGTTTAAAATTGTATATGCAGTACAGTTTCATTTTGCATCTCCCAAAGTGGTGAAGATCCATAATATCCATAAGGATCAAATATGGTTAAAAAGAATCTATAGGAACTTATTTATATTTTCAAAAAGATCTTGATAGTAATTTTACATGCATTTTGTCACTTTGTAAATACAAAATTTTATTCAAGCAAAATTTCACAGGATGAAGTGCATTAACAAGCCTATTTTATAACCCATGAACTGCACATCTGAAATAAAAGCTTCAATTCACAAACTGCAATAGTATTGTAATTCCTGTTGAGTAGAAAGATGGGTACCAAGTCATGTAGCTCACTGGATGGTCTGGCACCCATCATAGTGGTCTCTTTTGCACTGACCTTCCTATTACTGTATCCTCTGCCTTGGTAACTCAATATCCAGATCAGAACATTACTATTGCATTGGTTGGATATGTGTCACGGTGATCTCATCCTTTACTGTACATTCACCCTGTAAATGTCAGTAGCAGCCGCACTGGAGGAGTTCTAGGGATATATGCTGGTCAGACCATTGAAAGAGGAAAGGCTGGCTGCATCTGCTGTCTTTCGGCCTGATCTAGTGTAAGAGCAGAGAGAGTTCCTAGATAGGAGTTGGGGAAGTGTTGCGTGCAGATCCATTGGCTGCAGGGCATGTGATGACAAGAGAGTGGGAACTGGAGGTCTGATTATGGCAATACTTGCAGAAAACACCTGTAGGCCAGGGCACGTCCAAAAAGTGTTTTGGATTCTCTTATTTTGGGGAGCATGTTTACACACACTTAGAATTACTAAAGGCATCCTATTCAGACAGCTTTTTTAATTTCAGAATAATTCTACATTTGTTTTCCTATTCAGTTTTCAATCATGAACTTCTAAAATACAGCCTAGTTTCTCAACAAATACCCGCCTCATTTGTTGCAAAGCCCAATGTCAGTGCAGGAATGGGAGGTGATAATTCCACAGACTACATGTATACGGAAAATGTTTCAAAGTATCCTAAGGACCAAGGGTGCCCATGAAGTGCATAACCACTGTCTTTCAAGCTGAAACTCAAAAGTTGCTGGGGTGGGCTACTTGCAAACTAAAACAGCTGGAAGGCCACAACACACAACAGGCCTAGCCAGCATAATTGATGGTGAGAAATGATGGAAGTTGTAGAGCAAAACTTCCAGAGGGCACAAGTTGCCCAGCTTTTTAAGGGACAGTGATGCTTTAAATACAATAGGCATTCCCGGTTATAATTTTGTTTCTAGTGATGATTTCTGCTATTTTTGCAACCTGTATAACAGGAGTGGCCATACTGAGGGCCAGGATGTGGCTCTTTTGGTTTATTTTGCAGCTCGCCCCTTGCTGCTCGCCACCTTCCACTGATACCTGCGGGTACCTGCTTCTGGCTCTGAAACATCTGACATTTACCGTATGTGGCTCTCCTGTTGAGCAAGTCTGGCCACCCAAGCTAGACAGGGAAGAGGAAGATTGGGAACCATCTCTTGCCAGTAGTTTCAATGACTGAAAAACTGCGGGGAGGGGAGGGGCTCTGTATTGCTTACATATTTCACATTTCATGTAGAGATATGCACATGGGAATAGAAACAGGTACTGATGAATAAAGAGATTGTGATGGGAACAGTATTAAGAGATTACATTCACTCCAAACCCCAAGAACTGTGCAAAGAGGAATGTATTGAATACCCTCACTCCAAATCAAGTTTTGTTGGCATTCATGATGCCTCTTCTGTGAAACAGCATTGCCAAGTTTCCAGTTTTGGAAAATTTCTAACACTGTGTGGCTGAGGAATAGAACTCTAAATGTTGAAGACTATAACTCAAAGCAAGTGTATGCATCTATACATGCGTAAAATGCACAGGTGAGATGTCACAGCATGCTTAGGTGCATGGATCACATGATTTATGTGCATAGAGTATGCATTTGAATGTCCCTTTAAAAAAAAACTGTTATGGGGCAATGAGATTGGGGCCTGTCCACATCCCTTATCCTCCACTAAGACGCCCCACATTCAGTGTCCAGAAGTGTGCATGCATAGACATTTTGTCCCAGCAAAAAACCTGTTCCAGCAGCATTTCTTAGGAAGGAGTGTATCCAGCAATTTTGAGTCCTATCACACAATTGATCATAAAGCACAGGAGTCCAGTCAGAAAATTAGATGGGAAACACAGAGTACCTATGTATACACGTGTACAAGTCCCATGGGCCTTTCAGGTGTATGTATGCTTGCAGTCTTTCTTCGGATTATGTATTTTTGCGAAAAATATCAATAAACCCCATCTCCCATCCTTTTGCAATGCTCATTACATTTTCTCTTAACTTTTTGAAAACATGTTGTTAATAACTCCTTCACACACACACCCCGCATGAAATTACTTTATTGCAGGCAGAATTAAGAGAAGAAACCTTCTAGCTGCTGCAGGTAACCGATCCCCTTCCCCCAACCAGGCGCTCTCCAGATGTGCCGAGACTACAACCTCCAGATGTGTTGGAGCTAGTGGGTGGGGATGCTGGGGGGAGCATCCTGACCCATAAGGACGGCACCTCGTGAGGCAGGCGGGCTGGAGGCTGCATAGGTTCGTGGGCTGTCCCCCATCCTGACCTGCTCGCGCTGCCAAAACGGGGCGCCCCGCGCGCGAAGTGCGCCGCTCGCTTCCCGGGGATCGGCGGCGCTGCGCGTGGAGCGTCCTTAATGAGCCGCCGCTCGGCTGACGGACAGCACCGGGGAAGGGGGGGGGGGGGGGCTGAGGGCGGGAAAGGAAAGGGCCCTATTTCCCCTTCAGCCCCATTGCGCCGAGGAGCTCGTTCGCCCCGTCCTGCTCCAGCCGCGAGCTCGCTTCGCGCGCCTTGCACCGGAAAGGTTGGCGGAGGGAGACTCCCGGCCGTCTGTGCCTCGCTAACTTTCCACGGCGGCGGCGGACGGTCTTGCCCCGCGCTCCCGCCATGCGGCCCTGGCTCCTGCTCGGGGTCCTGCTGCTGCACCAAACGCTGCAAGATGGTGAGTTCAGCCGCGCCGCGCCGCGCCGCGCCGCCGTTTCCCTCCCTTTCTGCGCTCCCCTTTCCACGCTCAGGCTGGGCTCGAGGCATCCCTGGAAAAGGAGCCCCCTCGAGCCTGACTCCCGCCGTCTTTTCCCCTCCCCTGCCACCCTTCCCGGAGGATCGGGGATAAATATGGGGCGGAGGGGTAGGCTGAGAGATTATTTCTACCGTACAACTTCTCCCCGAGGAAAATGGGCAGCCCCAGCCTTGTTTTCCGTTACCTGACAGAGCCTCCTTGTAGAGCAAGTGCGCCTGGGAGTAATGGAGTCCGTTGGCTGCCACCCACGCCCCATTCAAGAATTTTGAGAATTTGGACACTTTTTTTCCATCTAGGATTGTGCCGTTGAGTGTGTCTCGCTATACATATTTCTTCCTCTCTCCTCCATCTCCCCCCACCTCCCACGCAAACTGTTTTTCAAGACTTGGATGTAGGAACAGGCTTCGACAAGAAAGGCTTCGTTTGTGGAAGGTTCTTCTGTCCAGTTCTCCCCCTCTCACAGTCCACCCCATTCATCAGGATCCCCAGACTCACTGATCTGGTGCTCACACGAGGACCACCCAGGACTTCTTCAGAGTGGCTGATTTTTCATGAACAAGCCACCTCTATAACCCATGGCTTGGTTCAGGGTTGTTGAAACCCATGGCACGTTTTTCTGCTGTCGAAACCCAGCAGCACCATTTTATGATGGGGAGGAATGGCACCATCTGGTGTGGCAAAAGTCCCTTGTGCCACTGCCATTCTCCCTTTACTCCTCTCAGCGGCCAGTAACCTGTGTTCCTTAAAATGGCAAGCATCCATATGTGACAACTAGCAATGGAAAGAGGCAACAAACTGGGAGCCAGAAGTGGCTGGAGCAAGGCACTCAGTGCGTGCTCTTACTTCAGTGTAAAGTGAAATAAGCTTTTAAAAAGGCAAGCTCTGAAATGGAAGACAAAATTAACTAGAACATTGACAAGAGAGGTTACAGTATTCTGGGCTAAATATCAAAGAATTGCTATTACGCAACAACAGAATTCCCAGGGCAAAACAATTGAAAGTGTTCCTGAATTCATAAGGGCTCTGAAAATTATTTCCAGTTGATGATCTGATGTGGGGGTGTTGAGGAGTTTCCCTTGATAGCTGGCTTCCCAAGCAGGCCAATTGCGGAAGGGATGTAGCCATAGGAATCTGAAGAAACTGACACCACTGCAACTGATCCAGTATAAATCTGGTTGAAATCCAGAATGTTGAAGTTCTGTTAAGCTTCTGCTACAGTACTGTGCAATATAAGATACTGAGAGAAAATATTTTAGATTCTCCCTTTCCTCCAAGTGACAAAAAGCACTGCATGTGCTTCCCCACTTCCATTTTATCCTCACACCCAGTGGGTTTCAGTTTATTAAACCTACGCCATAATAATTTCTTTAGTCTTTCAGGATGCTGGAAATCTCTTTGTGATTCTTGTGAGGCAGGTTAGACTGAGAGATAGTGGACTGGTTCACATGACAGTTTAAGCCCAGAGTGGCAGGGAGAGCAACTGTGACAGACTGAGCATAATGAGGGTCCCTGCAGCACCACAGGAGGGGGAAGACTGGAAGTACCAGCCGAGAGCGGGCAATTCTGCCTATCAGTGTCCTGCATACCCATGAGCCAGTCTGGGGAGATAGTGAATTCTGTCAGCACTGCATGTGTGTGGTGCTGGCAAATGAGTGTTCCCCCTCCCAACCTGACTCTCCTCTACATTGGGGGGGGGGGGGTAATTTTCCCAAGCTAATGGGCACTGCACTTCTGTGGGAGGAAGTGTAATACTCAGGTGGCTTGGCCTCCATTCCTCTGGAGACTGGAAGGTGCTGAAGCTGACTGCTGTTCTCTGCAGGTTCCATCTGCCATTTGGGTAGGCATGGGAACAGGCTTGCTTCACTTCACATCCCAAAAGGCAGGCAGGGACCTAGTGAAAGGGAAGAAGAGCTGAAGCTGGCTGTTCTTCGCTTTGGCTATATCCATGTCTGTCTGTCTGGGCCAGGATGGGAAAGGAGGCAGCTCCAGCCAGCCAGCTGAAGCTCCCTCTTCCGTATTGGCCCAAAAAGGCAGATGTGGCTGATAGGGAACAGGAACAACTGGGTCAGGTTCAGCTCCACTGGCTGTTAATTAATTAATTTGCTGGCATAGTGAGTGTAGCACTGTAACTGCATTGTCTTTTAGGATTTTGAATAGCTCAGCTGGAATACCTTCTCCTCCACTAGCTTTCTTGTTACTGAGACTTTCTAAGGCCCATTTGACTTCACACTCCAGGATGTCTGGCTTGAGATCCTGGTTATCAGGGACATTAAGATCTTTCTTGTATAGTTATTCTTGTCACCTCTTCCTAATCACTTCTGCTTCTGGTAGGTGTCTGCCATTTTTGTCTTTTTTCATGCCCATGTTTGCATGAAAGGTTCCCTTGATATTTCCATTTTTCTTGAAGAAATCTCTAGTCTTTCCCATTCTATTGTTTTCTTCTATTTCTTTGCACTGTTCATTTAAAAAGGTCTTCTTATCTCTTCTAGCCATTCTCTGCAATTCTGCATTCAGTTGGGTGTATCTTTGCCTTTCTCCCTTGCTTTTTGCTTCCCTTCTCTTCCTCAGCTATTTGTAAAGCCTCCTCAGACAGCCATTTTGGTTTCTTGCATTTCTTTTTTCTTTGGGATGGTTTTAGTTGCTTCTTCCTGTACAATGTTGTGAACTTCCATCCATAGTTCTTCAGGCACTCTGTCTATCAGATCTAATTCCTTAAATCTATTTGTCACCTCTACTGTATATTCACAAGGAATATGATTTAGGTCATACCTAAGTGGCCTAGTGGTTTTCCCTACTTTCTTCGATTTAAACCTGAATTTTGCAACAAGAAGCTCATGATCTGAGCCACAGTCAGCTCCTGCTCTAGTTTTTACTGAATGGATAGAGCTTCTTCTTGGCTGCAGAGCACATAATCAATCTGATTTCTGTGTTGACCATCTCGTGATGTCCATGTGTAGAGTCGTCTCTTGGGTTGTTGGAAAAGAGTGTTTACTATGAACAGTGTGTTCTCTGGACAATACTCTGCTAGCCTTTGCCTTGCTTCATTTTGTACTCCAAAGCCAAACTTGCCTGTTATTCCAGTTATCTTTTGACTTCCCACTTTAGCATTCCAATCCCCCATAATAGTAAGGACAACATTTTTTGGTGTGGGCAGGTGTTATAAATCTTCATAGAACTGGTCAACTTCAGCTTCTTTGGCATTGGTGGTTGGGGCATAGACTTGGACTAGTGTGATGTTGAATGCTTTGCTTTGGATTTGAACTGAAATCATTCCGTCATTTTGGAGATTGCATCCCAGTACTGCTTTTCTTACTCTTTTTATTGATTGTGATGGCTACTTCATTTCTTCTGAGGGATGTTTGCCTGCAGTAGTATACCTGATGGTCATCTGAATCAAATTCACCCATTCCTGACTATTTTAGTTCACTGATTCCCAATATGTCGATGTTCAGTCTTGTCATCTCATGTTTGATCACATCCAGGTAGGCTCATATGGGAAGAGGTCCTCCTTTAGATAACCTGGCCTCCAGCCTTTCAGGGTTTAAAATATTAATGTTAACATGTGGAATTAGGCCTGAATTTCAATTGGTAGCCAGTGAAGTTGATAGAGGACTGGTGTTATATGTTTGTATTGGCCAGTCCCATCAGCAGCATCGCTGCCATATTCTGAACTAACTGAAGTTTCTGGTTCATCTTCAAAGGCAGCCCCACATAGAGAGCATTACAATAATCCAGATGAGAGGTTACCAGGGTGTGAATTACTGTTGCTAGGTTCTGCCTGTCCAGTTAGGTTGTGGTTGGTAAATCAGCCTGCCTGAGCTGATAAAAGATGCTCTGGGCCACCAAATCCATCTAAAATTCCAGTGATAATCCAGGGTTCAGGAGCACCTCCAAACTATGAATCTTGACCCATCTGGACAGAAGATTCCCATCACCAACTCTGTCTTATCTGGATTAAGCTTCAGTTTATTGATCCTCATTCAATCCATTAACAAGCCCAGACCTTGATCCAGAAGAGTCACTGCCTCATCTGGGTTAGATAAAAAGGAGAGTTACAGCTGAGTGTTATCAGCATACTGATGACATCTCAGCTCACACCTCCAGATAGCTTCTTCCAGTAGTTTTCTGTGGCACGCCATGACATAATTCCATGGCACAGAGCATAATCCCCCAGCACTACCCTCTGGAATGAGCTGCCAAGCAGGAGTGGAACCACTGCAAAGCAGTGCCTCCAATTCCCAACCCAACCAGCGTATCCAGAAGTATACCATGGTCACTGCTATTGAAAGCTGCTGAGAGGTCTAGGAGAACCAACAGGGACACACTTCCCCTGTCTTTCTCTGGGCAAAGGTCATCCCACTGGGTGACCAAGATAGTTTCAGTTCTGAAACCAAATTGAAATGGATTCAGATGGTTCGTTTCATTCAAGAGTGCCTGGAACCACCACCTGCTTGAACCACCAGAAAGGGAATGTTGGCCACTGGTCTGTAGTTGTTAATATCCTCTGGGTCCATGATATAATTACCTGTCCCCCCAAAGATAGATCCCATTGAAATTAGTGGAATTAGATTGCTTCTTTTGTATAATTTACTTTAATTCCACTGAGGGGCTGGTTGTCTCCTGACCCATCAGTCAAAATGCAGGATACTTTGACAGAGATCTGCTTTGAGGAGGATGTAGTTGATGTGTGCGTTTGTTCTTATGCTGCAAAGTAGTCTTTCCCAATTGTGTGCCTTCCAGATGTGTTGGACCACATCATCCTCAAGCAGAATGGTCAGTGGGAACCTTGCTATGCAACATGAATACTGAACTATGAACAACGATAACTAATTAGTGGGTCCATAAATCCTATAGTCCCTAAGCTCATTGTCCCATGGCGATGTGTGTAACCCTCCAAGCTTGGAGTCTTGCAGTCATCCAGTGCAGGGTGGGAGGAATAACTGCAGTGATCTGGGCCTCCCTGTCCTCCATGCTCAAGCATTTTGAAAGGGAAAGGAAGGAGCTAAAGAGGCATTAGAATAGTTCACACCCTGGTCTTCCCTCCTTGCCCATGGAAACATCTCTTTTTCTCCCTCTGCAAGACTGCTTGCCCAGTCTCAGGAGCAGCTGTGTTCTGACTGCAAGGTCAGAGTGCACTGAGTGTGGGAGGTTTCTGATTCCAAGCTCTGAGGTCTCCAGCCATATTTTGTGAATCCAAAATATCTCATGGCCTCTCAGATGCTATCAAGGGCCCACAGGATCATTCCCTAAAACCTGTTAACAATATTTCTGCTGATGCTTACTCAGCTGAGCTTATATCTCTTCTATTGCATGCAGTGTCCACAGTGCCCTTCGTCCGTTTTGGGATTATATTGCCATTAAACTTGAGATAATATCCTGCATGAATTAATCATTACTAGAAATGCATGGCATAGACATGGAGGTTGCAGAAGATCCAGACACTGTGTGAAGGTGGCATTTTCCAAGTGCACAGATGATGATATTTTGTAAATACAAGCAGTTTTCCAGTATCTTGTGTCCCGGAGCTCACACTTCTATTGCAGTTGTCCATAGTGGTGGTATGAATGTCATGGGCATTTATTGAATAGTGCCCATGATCTCACTGGTAATGAGCAATACAAATACAATATTAAAAATTTATATTTTTCTGTAATTACTACTATGTTAGAAACTGAATGTTCCCCAGTGTATCACTCAAGCATAGTCACATAGTCTTCTGAAATATTTAACAAACCCATTGCAAACAGCAGCAAATTACCTCCTGTTTATACGGCGCAAGGGATATGAAACTGGAGACTCTAGCAATGTATTCTCTGTGGAAATGGGGATAAGGGAGTTGGTAACCTGCATTCTTCTGAACCTCCCTGCTTATCAGAGAACAGGTGGCACAAGGGACCGATAGGAATTCTTCTGGCCCCATTAGACTGCTGAAGCAGCCAATTACCCTGCAGCAAGAAAGGGGACTTCATATTCTGCTACTGTGTGTATCTAGTAAGTGCAGCTAGTCCAAGATATTTTGCTGCTTGAGGTGGAGCAGCAACTAGTGTCCTCACCACCCCCAGGTCAAACTACACAATATCCTTGAACATGCACAAAATTGGTTTTAAAGGTTTGGCTTCAAATCGGTAGATAGAGCTTGTCTCTCCTTCCCATAGGATCAAAGATTTAGATTCCTGACACCTCAAGAAATGGGGCAGGGCAGAGATACATTTTTGTTTTATGGTGCAGAATTTCCTATAGTTTTGTGAATGTCTGTGCACATACTTTTCGTTGCATTTAGTCCTAAGGAGTTAGTTGTGGAGCCTAACTCAGCTAACTAGGGGGTGGGTATTCTCATGAGGAATGGCTGGGAGCAGAAGGACTTCTTGAGGTGGCCAGCTCACTTTACCCAATGGCAAGGTTGGAAGCTCACTAGCACAAGTACAGTTCTAATAGGAAATTGTTTTGTTTGTTTTCGGATTTATATCCTGCCTTTTTCCTACAAAGGGCTCAAGGCAGCTTACATCATTCTCCTCCTCCATCTTATCCCCACAACAACAACCCTGTGAGGTAGGTTGGGCTGAGAGTCTGTGACTGGCCCAAAGTCACCCAGTTGGCTCCATGGCTGAGCGGGGACTAGAACCCAGATCCTCTGAGTCCCAGTCCCATGATCTTAATCACTACACCACACTGGCTCTCAATTGAATTGAAGATGTGCTAGAAAGAGCTTGATTAAAGATTAAGAAAATTAAAGATTAAAACCAGTTTTCAGCAGACTAAACTATGCCAAAATGCAACAGATTTCATGTGTACAAACCAAGTTTAATTTTCTAAACTTATTTCAGAATCTATCACTTCAGCGAATCCTTAAAATAACTACTTGTTGATAGACCTGCTGGCTAAGCATAGCCTTTGGCAAAGATACTAGATTTTATAGAGAAGTGACATTTCCCTTCAGGGGAAAACCTAGTAATTGCTCATTTGCATGTGATAATTTAAATCCAGGCAAATTTAAAATTGCCTATTGGTGATCATCTTATTTGAACTAACAAAAATGAACAAGATATCAGAAATAGATGCCATGTTGCTCTGACCTATTTAAGATAGATTTGACAAAAGGTTATGTCAAAAATGGAAGGTGTTGGTGGGGAAATACTTTCAAGAAAAATTGTGCCCATTGAAAACTAAAAAGTTGCATGTACAAAGTTGATACTTATCTCATATTGTTTATTTTTCTTCTCCTTTGTGATAGTTATTGGTCAACCTGCAAAGAACAAGCGTCAAAAGGAGCCAGGAGAGAATAGGATCAGACCTGCAAACAAAAAAGTAAAACCCAAAATTCCTAAACTAAAGGAGAGAGAATCAGATGTTTCCCCAAAGATCCATTCCATCATGACACAGGTGATGGATAAGGGCCGCTTTCAGAAGCCTGCTGCTACTCTAAGCCTTTCTGCAGGACAGAGTTTAGAACTACGGTGTAAAGGAAATAAAATTGGATGGAGCTATCCTTCTTATCATGACACCTTTAAAAACTCCCGACTCAGGTAAGCCTTCAGTGGGTGGAGATGACAAACATTGCATCTAAATTTTGCTATAATGAAACACAAATCAGAGCAAATGTGGATCGTCTCACTCTGCTCGAATGTATATAAGAAAAGATAAGACGCTCACTAAGAGTATTATTTATTTATTTAAAATTCTACATCATCTTATATGTCCAAAAAATCTCAAGATTTTTTGCACAAAAGAATTAAGAGCATTAGAACTAGGCAACAGTACTTGATTTAAAATAGAATAGATGAGTTATATATTAAAACTAACATTTAAAGAACGGGGCAAATAAAAACCTGGCACCTGACCTGGCACCAAAAAAAGAGTAAAATATCAGTGTCAGAGTAACCTCTCTGGGGAGCATATTCCACAATTGGGGTGCTACTGCTGAGAAGGCCTTTCTTCTAGTTACAGGCCTCCTAATTTCCTTCAAGAAGGGCTCTCAGAGAATGACCTCTGCCAATGAGCTTAAGGTCTGGGCAGGAGTATATGGAAGGAGGTGTTCTGTTAGATAGCTATCCAGGCCCCAATCCATTTAGGGCTTTAAATGATATTGTCAAGCCTTTAAATTGGGCCTGGACTTCAACTGGTAGCCAGTGGATCATGTCTACCAATTCCAGTCAGTAAACTGGCTGCTCTATACTGTACCAATTGAAGTAACCAGATGGTCTTCAAGGGTAGCCCTATGTAGACCATGTTACAACAGTCCAAATGGGAGGTTACCAGTGTATGGATTTCTGTTGCCAGGATCTGTCTGTCCAGGTAAGGATGCAGCTGATTGACAAGCCTTAGCTGGTAGAAAGCACTACCAGCCACAGAAGCCACCTGGAATTAGCGATAGCCTCATGTCAAGGAGTACTCCCAAGCTACATGCCCTGTCCTGTAGGGGGAGTTCAGAACAGGGCAAATATCGCTCACTTGAAAAAACAGACTTCCTACCTGTAACACTTCTATCTCATTTTGATTAAGCTTCAATTTATTGGTCCTCATCCAGTCCATCACTCTGTTGAGATACTGGTTTAGAACTGTCACAGCCGCACCTGGATTAGATGAAAATGAGATGTTTGAGCTGACTGTCATCAATATACTGATGACACTTCAGGCCAGACCTCCAGATAACCCCTTCCAATGGTTTCATGTAGATGCTGAACAGCATGGGGGATAAAATGGAACCTAGTGGAACTCCATGGCATAATTGCCATGGCGCAAAACCACCATCCCTCAGTGATACCTTCTGGCACTTTTCTGGTTGACATGGCATATTGCCTAAAGCAAAAGTCAAGATATGTAGGGGATTGCTCAGATGAATCACCTGAAAATGTCAAAGGAAGTAAAAAGAGTGATATTGGTGCCTTGTTTCACACAAGTTAGTTTCCAACTTCATTCCAAGAGATTTTCACCACTTTCCCTGAATAAATATTAGTGTATGTGATCGTGAGCATCTGTCAATATGAGAAAAGCCATGGGTGAAATAAGTGGCATATAAATGTTTAAAAATATATTGTAAGGTAGGAAATCAATCTACTTTATTTGGAATTAATTTTATTTGCATAAACATTCCATATTACAAACAATAAGAACCATGGTTTTTTTAAATTCTATGTATCTGCATCCGCAACTATAATGGGTTTTCAGTTGAGATTATCAATAACTATGAGTGAATTATATATATTGACATGAGCTGCATGCAAGATTCCTATCAGGTTTTCCTCTTTCCTGGGAGTGATGCTTCCCTGAGAGAGTTATCAAAAATTTTGTTACTAATTGAAGGAAATGGATATATTGTTGAAGAATAAATGTATACATTGATCAAATGACTGATCAAACATCAATATATGTGGTTAAGATTAGCACTATAGGGAAGCAAAGAAGGCATAGTGAAATGCAACATTGTTTCCCATAAGATCTTTTCCCCATGTTTTAGAGTGGTCTTAACTTCCTTCTTTGAAACTAGACCTTATTTTCCACTGGGACACTAAGAGCCAAACAGTTGCCTCAGGCAAAGTCTTAGAGAAAAAGTAAATCAAGTTAGTGTCTTGGAAACCTTTGTCTGAAACAACTTTGATTTTGTTGTAGTGAAGCTAATGATTTTCTTTCAGGATACTCTTTTTCTCTAGTTATTAGTTCTTACTGAGATAAGAGGGAAGAGCCCATTTTGCTATTAACCTAATCAAGGATTTAATTAGTAAAACTTGTCAGCATTGTGTACTTAAATGTAGAATTTTTTATAAGCTGTTTTTGCTTTCACTCCTCAAAGTATCTGCCCCTCATGGATACAAATTATATGAATACTTTGAGCAAATAGTGTGAAGCACATTTAGTTTGTAATTTGGAAAGTAACAAGGGAAAAAACCCAGGGGAAAATCTTTTCAAGGGCAGGAGGAAGGAAATTTTGAGTAATCTGTATATATCCATGAGCCAAAAGATTATTGACTGCTAGATTTGGATGAATGCTGTACACTAATGCGGTTTTCAGTATGGCAATACTTACTTTGAGATAATTAGAAATGAAACAAAAAATAAGCATTTCACTCTGTTGCTATTAAAATGTCAGATGTTGAATCATGAACTGTTCTATAGAAAGAAAAATCAGCTTGAGAGTTACATTTGAAGTATAAGAAATAGTGTTGGTTTTGGTACCTGATAAAAACCTCTTGATTTTAAGAATTCCCTGACTAACCAGCCACAGTTTTATTGATACTGTGTTTTATTAAAAATAACATAGAATTTCATTTTTTATATTATATTGGTCGCTATCCCAGAATCTATATGTGGAACAATAAATAAATAAATTCTCTCCCTTCCTCACAGAACTGCTTTATATCAGAACAGCTGTTTGATGATGGTTTTATATAATGCTTGTCAATGAGAAAAGAAACTTCTCCACTAAAATATATAGTAAATTCCTTGAATTATATATTTTAATGGGCACAATCCATCTGAATTGTGTTCTGTGTCATTTGTTGGTTTAACATCAGTCAGAACAAGCTATACGTTTGCAGCCACTGTTGCTATCAGCTCGAACCCAGTATTTCTCCTTGAGCTGTAAGAGGTAAGTAGTAACACTAGTTGACATTACAGGGTTGCTCATAAGGATTACGTACAAATTACTTGTGAACAATTTGAATACTGGGGAAAACATGCTAAGGCTGCAGTGCCCTTCAAATTTGGGAGGATGTATGCATCACTGAAAGTAACAGGATTTATTTCTGAGTAAACATACATACAATGTAGCTGTATGTGTTATTATTAATTCCCTAATTAATGAGATCCATACAAATATCACCTGAGCAGTGTGGTTTCCGTGGTGCTGTTATGGAAACCTCTCATGGGATCCAGTGGCATTTCCTTCATACATATTATTTTGCCATTTCATTTATGCTTCACTGATGTTAGGTTTGGTCTCTCCTTTGTAGTTCCAGCTTCTGTGGTACTTGCTGTGAATATTCACTATCTTCTGGGTTATATTTTTGACTCAGCTTTTTGCAGTGTGATCTCTCCCAAATAAGTACAGTGGTGGGACTGGGCAACTCTGGAGCTTTACAGAAAATCGGAGTGGTCCAAAGTGCCATTCCATGTGAGAGTAGAGTAAATAAGAGACTGATGGGAAATCTGAGGAAAGATGAGTGTTGTGTTGCTCAGTCTTGTGGCTCCATTGCAGCAGCATGCTATATTCACACACACGGACACACACACACACACACACACACACACACACACACACACTCCTAAATGACATGAAAGATTTGGCGTGCCATCAGTAGTAATCTTTGTACCCCTGTAGCCTTGTTTTGGCTTTGGCTGATCACTTACTGCTTATTTGCAGGACAGTGTTTTGGTTGAAGCTAGTGAAAGTTATTTTTTACTGAGAGAAGTAGCATTTGCAGAAAGACTCTTTTGGTTTCCAATGCACCTACTACCTCTATTTGTATAAAGATAGTATCCTATTTCTAAATGTGGATCTCTAAATATAAGATAACCATCCAGAAATGAGTATTATGGAAAACAGCCATGAAAAAGTAACGACTATTGCCACAAATTATAGTAAAAAACCCAACTGGCTCATAGAATTACTTATTGTAGGATATTGTGTTTGTTACAAGCATTGTTTATTAAATAATGGCAGGGAGGAGATGTTTGTGAAGGTACTAACCATGACAGACGGAAAACACAACTTCTTTCAGAAACACTGTATCTCCTAGATGCTGGGAACAAATCATGCATTACACCATCCATTACACCAAGGCTAGAGATAAGCCAGATAAGCTGTCAGTTTGGCAGCTCTGGTGATCTGGGTTTTATTTTGCAGTTAACTGAGCTTTATCACATCAGACCACTAGATGGCAGATTTTACTGTCAGATTATTGGCATCCACCTTTGATGGAGGGGGGACAAATAATTGTATAAACACACAGCACACCTTTTATGTGTTCATATAGTGTTAAATACATAGTCCATGGAATTGCCAAAATGCATTAACTATAAAAGTAAACTAGATTTGTAGATAAATGAGAACTTTTACCTGGGGACAATAAATAAAGTCCTAAAAGAAAATGGTAATGATTTCAACTAGGAGCCATGGGATTGAAATCAATTTAAAAATAGCCTGCAACAGCAGGAACTTAAAAACTGATTAAAGGCGCACTGGAGTTTTAGAAGTCTTGGCTGCCCTTTTGAAACTTGTGAGAGGGAGTTCTGCAATCTGGGTGCTGCTACCAAGTTCTGCCCTTGTATCCCCACCAAGCACACCCTAAAGAGGGAAGAAATGAAGCAAAGCATTGGATGCTGAACACAATACAAGAGTAAGTTAATGCAGGTGGAGATGGTCTTTCAGATAAAGAGAGGCTGCAACTTATAATCTGTAAAAGACTGCTACCATTAAGGAACAGACTGGCTGTAACTAATACTGCAACTTAAATATTGCAAAACATCAGTGCTAAGCACCTCTGTAACCCTTACTAATACTGGAGGAAAGTTGCTTATTATGCTATTG